TATTCATCTCTTTTATTATCACAACACCATCACACATCCTATCAAGCTTATTGTCCGTGAACACTATAGATTCCATTTCTTATATATTCAAACGTTAGCAGTTAAGTGTCTAATATAATACACTGTGCTGCAAAGTTTAAGTATATGGACATACATTAACTCACTATATCAATATTCAACAAAGCTATGGACACCGAAAAATTTGTACCGAAAATGTGTATTGGCCTACGTGTACGCGTGACTAAATTTTTTTATCAATTTTTTTCTAGTGAATGGCCATCCATCTCGTTCACTCATATAGACTCTCGTCCATATTATATGGATAGGGGTCCATATACTAGGGACGAGCATCCCCATTTAAAGGACGCCCGTCCATAATTAAAATACAATAATTTTTTTATATAAACATTAGGGATGACCGTCCCTTTATTTTGGACGGACGTCCGCAAATAAGGGATGCCGGTCCTTAACCAAAATATAAAAATAAAAAATAAAAAAAACTTTGGGGAAGGCCATCCCTTACGTTTGGACGGGCGTCCATACTTATTAAAAAAAAAAAAAAAATTCTAAATCTCTTTTTCTTCGTCTTCATTCCCCATCTCCTCTCTTCTTCTTGTCCAGTGTTATTGAGACTGCTTGTTCTTTCTTGAAGATGAAGACGCAGCAGTGGCTGCTGTAACGGAGAGCCCAGAATGCGCAGCTCCACGCTGCTGTTTCAGTGGCTGCAGTGACTTTCAAAGATATTGAACTTGTTTTCACCAACATGTCAGATTCTTTCGGAGCTCCATCAACGAAGTGTTTCAATATAACTTGCTTGTTGTTCATAATGTCACCATCACTCGCCATTATTGCTTGTTTTGCTTTTGTTTATATTTTCACAACTCAAATGTATGTATAAATTTTTTCTTGAGTTTTTGCGTTGCTGCAGCATGATGATCAGTTGTTTTTATAGTTGCATGATTGTTGCTTATCTTGTCTTCGTTTTGTTTTGATATAAATACTTCAGTGGCTGCAGTTCTCAATAACACTGGACAAGAAGAAGAGAGGAGATGGGGAATGAAGAAGAAGAAACAGACGTTTAGAATTATTTTTTTTTTTTTAAAAGTATGGAAATGGACGCCCTCCAAACGTAAGGGACTCTAGTCCTAACGTAATTTATGGACGACCGTTCCCAAAGTTTTTTTTTTTATTTTTATATTTTGGTTAAGGACGGACGTCTTTTATTTGCGGACGCCGGTCTAAAATAAAAGAATGACCGTCTATAATAGATGAACGACCGTCCTTAATGTTTATAAAATTTTTTTATTGTATTTTAATTATGGACGGGCGTCCTTTAAATGGGGACGCCCATCCCTAGTATATGGATCCCGTCCGTATAATATGGACGGGAGTCCATGTGAGTGAACGGCCGTCCATATTTGATGGATGGCCGTTCACTAGAAAAAAATTGATAAAAAAATCAAGTCACGTGTACACGTAAGCCGGTACACATTTTCGGTGTAAATTTTTCGGTGTCCGTAGCTTTGTTGATCAACATTATATAATTCATCATTTATAGTATAAAAATGATTTACATTGAGATAATAATCATTATAAAGAAAAATTTGAGGGGACTTGAAAATGTATATTATATTTAATAAATCTAAAGATTAGATATTTTGTTCGGCCGAACGACTTTCACCTACCTAGAGTTTGGCATAAAGATAGATTGATATCCAAAACATTTGGAAATGACAAATAAATACTTTCTGTCATACTCTGTTAGGGATTTTTGTCTGCTAAAAGGCAGTATAGTAATTTCATCTATAGTAAGAAAATTTTTAAATTTTAAATCTTTTTCTCCCCATCCATTCTCACCCTAAGCCCGTTTGCAAAGCCCTCTTGCGTCATCGATCAATTTTTTGACCAGATTTAGCATTTTTTTGCGAAGTTCGGTGATAAACATTGGTATTGACCTTTGCCAGCATACGTTGAGAATGGAGATCGATGGATATTCCATTCTTTTCACTATTTTTGTTTTTTAGTAGATAAAAACTCCTAATAAAATATAACAGAAAATAGGTGTTTATCATTTCTTAACTTTTTAGAAACCATTTTATCTATACAGTAAACTTTGGATATGTGTAAGTCTCCCCCCATTTTGTTCTTGTATTGTTAGGAAGAAGAGTGCAGTCGCAGCTGGTGGGCTTGACAAACAGCCGAAATTTTTTTTGGATAAGTTTTTTTTTGAAGAGAAACAGCCGACATCCTTCCGCTTTGGGCCTAACGTCATGTCATCGAAGTTGCACCAGCTCCAGCTGTCCTCAACTCAGGTAAGCCTCCCCTCTAATTTTGTTCACTTCTTCAGATTCTATTGTTGGAAAAAAATCATACCAACTGGGTCCACTCTGGTTAAGCTAGGCTTTTTAGTAATCAGATATTTGGATCAGTATACATATAACTCAACTAATCTCTGAGATTTATTGAATATCTTATAAGGTATAACCCTAAGAATTAAGTAAACCACAATGTTATTATAGTAAGTGGCCCAAGATTTTAACTTAAGAACTTAATGAATGGAGCAAACCTTCTTGACCGTTAGACCAATCCCTTGAGGTTAAGTTTTGAATAGTTTATCCAACATGATTAAACTATGTCAAATTCTATAGAATATCAACCAAGATAATGAATGGATGTTCTCGCCTAAAGTTAGAGGCCATTGTTTATGTATATATATATAACCCTTTTTTAAATATATTTTATCATATAAAATTTATTTCAAAAAACCTTTTTTTTTTAAGGCCCTCCATTAAATTTCACATAACACTCACCCTTTTAATCAAAGCATTCTGTTTCCTTCATTCCCATCTCTTTTAATAAAAAAAATCATTCACATTATTTTTGGCAAGAAGAATTGGTTTGTCTTATTGCCAGTACACAAATCTTACCATTAGTAGCAAATTTTGTAACTTGAAACTGTGGAAGCACCTTTCTACTTGTGTATCAACTTAATTTGTCAAGTCAAAGCATATAATTTTGCAAAAGACTGTCGGCGCTGACAACGAAGATTATTATTGAATTTTAGATATACCGACATGATTGGTAGTTCTTCTACGTCTCATTAACGGTGGCGATATGAATTTGCAGGAGATTTGAAAAGAGTTTTATTGGTGGGCTAAATAGTAAAAAAATTATGTGCATGCTCAACCACAGTTATTAAGATTCGAATGGGCAGTCTCCAGCCGCCTACTTATCTTGTTTTGTTTTAATCTACAAGTACAAGAAAATTATTTATGAGACTTTGGTTTACTGCATAAATATCATCACGCACTGAAAACCACTAGTTGAAAACGATAATCCACCAACAAAGTTCCACAGCCATTGATCACCAGAATCGGTAACCTTTAACACAACATCATGGAGATGTTCCCGTGACCCATATCAAGCATGTTTATTCGCTATCTCTAAGAGACAGTGAGTGAGTTCTTGGGGCTTGGAAAACATCGCCATATGATCTGCACCCTTAATCTCCATCACCTCTTTGACAGGATAGTTTTCGATCATCCAGTGCTGGAACTCCTTTAGGATCCCCATATCCTCCTCGCATACTATATATACTCGCGCAATTGATCCATACCCATCGCTCGAGAAGTTTTTGGACTTTGCCAAGTCGTCTACAAATAGTGATCCTGGCCTAATTAACGTCTTCGCTAGCTCCAGATCCTTCAAAATATATTTTTAATTATATAATACAATTCAGGCATAATTTAATTGTCATCGATATTTTATTGTAAGGTTGAGGAGGGAGAGAGAGAGAGAGAGAGAGAGAGAGAGAGAGAGAGAGAGAGATGGCTAACCTCAACAGGGCTCAACTGATAGAGCTTGAATTTCAAGAACTCGCGGCCGAAGAACATTGACTGGAGAGATGGTTTTGTGTGAAAGGGGGAAAATTGAGTATCCATCCAAGTTTCTGCTGGTGTTCTCTTGAGCAACTTTTCAAAATATAAAAAGATAATAAGACTTCCGATCATAGATATGTACAGAGAAATGAGATCTAGGAGCTAATCTTTTTAAAGCATAAACATGTGGAGCTAATTCATTGAAGTAGTTGAGAACGTACCTGGTCCACGATATAAGATGGATTGTGGTTGGTGTCTGGCATGAAAGCTGTTAAGAAAACAGCGACAGAAATCTTTGCTGGGAATTTGTCCATTGCTAAAGCCAAATTCAAGCCTCCTAGGCTGTGACCAACAAGTATGATCTTTTCATCAGGTGGAAGAGAGGCCAAAATCTCCAACAAAGGCTCAGTGTAGTCATAAAATGAAAGAACTTCATGGATGGACTTCATGTTGATGCCAGAGGCAGCAAGGTCAAGCGCCGTGACCCGGTGACCAGCAGCCTCCAGCCGTGGTTTGACTCTGTACCAGCTCCAAGCTCCGTGGTTTGCCCCATGCACTAGAACAAAATGTTTTTGTTTCACCGTCACAGCCATTTTCTTTCTTTGCAGTGTTTCAGTAGTGTTCTGTGATTGATTTATAAAATTATGTGAGATGTTATACGGACAACAAGATCAATTTACAGCTTGTGATAGGGTCCCATTCCTACCTCTAATAATCCAAGTAGAGTAAACGACATATTCCCACCCAAGGATTGATGGAATCCCAAATTGGTATCTCAAGTTTCATTTATTCCAGATTCCCACTCTTAAAATAACAATATTAACAATTTTTAGGATAGTGAGGGTGCATTTACCATAATACCCTTAATCCTAAATTAATAAATTATGTTTTAACCCCTAAATTACTAAAATTATAAATTAACCATCTTATTATGAAATTACTTCAATTACACCCTCAATGACTGCGCACAGTCTCGGTTTTCGCCGGATCTGGGCTGTTTCCGATGGCGGCGAACCCCCTGCTCACCTCCATCACCTTCTCCATCGTTCGTTGTCCAAAACCCCTCTGGTTCCCAACTCATTAGGCCCTCCAATCGCCAGCGTCGTCAGACTTTTGTTGTTCTTCGCTGGATTCCGATCAATTCCGGCCACGAAAATCCAATTGGACATCACCACTGCAACCAGCGTCTCCAAATCTACAAAACCCCAATGTCCCTAGCAACCGTTTAGTGGCCATTCGCCGGTGGAGACCGACGAAAACCAGTCGCATGTGGCGGTTGTCGTGGTTGGTGATTGGCGAGTGATGAGGGGTTGTGAAGGGTAGGGTTTTGTAGAGGGGAGGATGAGGGTTTGAATGGTGGTGACAAGGGTGATTTTGGGTGGAAGAATAGCTAGAAAATGGTGAAAAATGACGGCTGTGATGTTGGCTAATGTGTGTCGGAGCTTTGTTAGGGGCGACGATCTGCTAATGTGCGTTTCCTCTACAAAATGACCCATTTACCTCTGAGCCGTTATATCTAACCATTTTCTTTTACTTTAAGGGTGGGAATATAGAATAAATGGAATTTGGGATACCAACTAGGATTTCGTCAAACCTTGGGTGGGAATATGTCGCTTACTCATCCAAGTAAAACAAACTTTTCTTTCTCATAGTGCACACGTTATATAACAAAAATGTATTTTGATTAAAATCGATGATAACTTCACAAATTGAAAATTCCATCTATAAAAGTCTAAGGTCATATTAGAAAAAGGTAATGGTGACAATTTAGAAGTCAAAACAAGTATGATGACGATGTAGATTAACGTCTTTTACTTTTTCTTTTGTTCCTTCCGCCACTAAATGTCGTTACTTCTTTTAAGAATTTTTTTTTTTTTTTAATAACATAATGCTTGATTGCTTTCAACGTTTTCCATTATATATTCCTTTTAAGTTATTTGAAATAGGTTTTGATTAATACTAATCAGAGTTTCGATAGGTTGTGTGGATGGGAGGACTGTTTTAGTCGCTTCAGGCACTATACCTGTGACATTATTGATGGAATTTGGATTGGCCTGTGGTAAGTAACTTTATATGGAAAATAGTGAAAGCTATAAACTCAGTCAATATTAATGTAGTAGGATTTCCACTAGAGTTTATCCACTGATTATTAAGTCTGGCTTGACTAATTCGTGGGTCCTATTTTTTAGAGTGGCAGTATTTGTTATGCAGTTGGACACAAAGTATTCCACTTTCCCTCAATTTCGATAATTGCATTATCATCTGGAGTCTGGAGAGAGCGGAGCACCTATATAAAGCTTGAGCCGTCGCTGGGGCATACCATCACTTCATTGTTTCAAGAATTATATATAGGCTACCAGCTAACTAGTAAATGTTTCAATTGATATGATATTTTATTCAAATAATTTATTCTTGTTCAATTCCATAAGCAATAATAGAAATGCCAGCTCAGTTCCATGCCTTTGTAACAACTTAATGCTTCAGTTTTTTGCACGTTTACATTTTATGTTACTATATATTGATACAGTATTTGATGCGACGCCATATCCTTTCATAAATTAATAAGACAATGACATTTGGTGTGTTTGTTCTATTATGTGGGGTACGACTTTTTGTAAAAGTTGAGTTGCGTTATATTACGAGAAAGATTTAAAAATTACCAAAAGCACGTTAGTTTGTTAATATAGCTAAACTGTCCTAGAATAATAAAATTTAAAAATTAATAAAAATATTCTCACACACCAATTAAATATTTGTAGCCAGTCATCATTGTTGAAAAGTGGCCAACAGTTGCTATAATGGCACATGATTGGCTAAATTTAGTTGATTATGTGTCGATATGACCTTTTCTGATTAGATCCACTGTAGATCTGGTTACGTTTGGTCATCAACGATGACCATTTCTTGACAATTGTTGACAACCATCCACAATCAAAGATTTGGTATTTTTTAGCCAGATTCAAGGAGGACTGGCTAAAAAAAGCTAGATCGATGTACTACCTACCAAATCTAACCGGTAGTGCGTCATTTCACCAAATTTTAGCTATCTTTCGACGGTAACGGCCAGAATCTGACAAATGTGGGTGGGTGGAGGTGTTTTTGTTAATTTCTAAACTTTTTTTTGTTGAGGATGTTTAGTTAAATTAACAAATATAGGAGGTTTAAAAATAGTTGAATAAAATAGAATTGGATTTTCATAATAGAAAAACAAATATGTATTTTGGATAGGATAAGATAGAAATAAAGAAACAAACATAAAAGATTTCGAAGCAATATTTGTTTACTATAAATTAATAAGGCAATAATAGTATTATTCAAATATTTTATTTATATTTTTTTTATAATACCATATTTACAAAGATTGTACGCAAAATTTTACATATAAAGTGACGTAATTGAATATAAAATATCAAGTTAATAAATGCACATTAAATGATATTTAATAAGACACCATTTTGTACGCAAGACTTTGTATATATAGTGTTACTCTTTCTTTTTTATATTTTAACCCTTATTTTGAGAGATTTATCTTTTAATCTAAAAAGCCTTTTTTGTCATTTTTGTTTAAAGTTATTTTAATTCAAATACCCTTATATGATTAATATTGTTTTAAATAAAATATTTGGAATATTGCTTAACTTTTTTGACATTTTTAATTATCACTTAACTTTATGTAGTTAGTATAAAAATGCACTAGGGTTGGTAACAATAATCCATTTTAGGTTTGGTGGAACAATAATGCAAAATCTCCGGAGGTCTAATTCTCCTAAATAGAAATTTAAGGTGATAAAATAAATCATGAATAAACCGTAAATATTCATTAAATCATAATGTCCAACTAATTTTAAGAGTTTTGTCTTATTTCTTAAATTTCAAGTGACTTTTTTATTTTATGTAATTAAACCTCAGAGTTGAATTATCTTCATTAAGAGATTATCCAGGGTAATAAATTTGTCCTTAACTGTTAGTGAACCAAAACTATAGATACGAATTTTTTTTTTTGATTATGTGAGGTTAATGGAAAACCCTATGCAACAATTTCAAAGATGTTAACTATTATTGTGTGGTTGAGTGGAGCAAAAGGGACTTTTGAGTGTATTATTCAAGAGATTTTGATTTCGATTCTTCTTGTTTGTTATTATTTGAGGGTTTATCTAGTCATTAACTTTATAATTTTGGAAGATTAGTCGAAGAAAAAAAATCTTTTAAGAAGTTTATGTGAAAATATGCCATTTTGGAAACCGGTGTAAAATAATAATTTAAATTTAACATAGTTCAAGTGCATGTAAAATTAATGAAAACTGATGTAGAGGATAGAGTCAAGAGACCTCAACATTGACATTGAAAAAATGAATACATAATATAGTACAAATTGTAGTTAGTAGGATCTGGGTTTATCCTTTATGTAAATTTAGAGAATAAAATAATAGATTGCAAATCTTAGTCTTGACTCTTGACTATCATCAAAGTGGAATTTTACACACATTAACATTATCTCCTTTCCTAGTCCTTATGGCAGGCCCACCCACCATCCAACTACATTATTTTCACATGAAAGCTCTTTGAACATTGAACTTTCCCATTATAAAATCAAAATGTGAATTTGCTTTGGGGCCGCCTGCCTCTGTTTTGGCTGTTTGGACAGAGCTTGTTGGCAACGAAATTGGGGTCAAAAATAGCAGAAGTTCAAGTTGGTGGGTTTTCTAATGAGTAAACGACTTTTTCCCACCCAAGGTTTGCCTTAATAACACTTTTCCACCCAATGTTCATATTCTGTTAATATCCAAAATGCATTTCACTTTCTCAGCCGATGTTTGACGAGTTATCAAGAGCCAGGGTAAGAGGGTTTTTGTAGAGTAGAGGCCGGTGAATCGAATGGTGGTAACCAATTGGATATTTGTTGTCAGAATCAACTAAGAATAGGAAGTTTTAGCTTTGTGGTGGCTGACAATCGGTGAGAAATTAGGAGCTAAAGTGAAAGGGGTTTTGTAGAAAGGAGATCGGAGGTTCAAACGGTAGTGACGAAGAGAATTTTCGTTGCCAGAATCGGTCGAAATAGGCTTTAGGCAGTAACAAAATATTAACTTTGGGTGGAAAAATGGTATCATTAAGGCAAACATTGGGTGAGAAAAAGCCATTTACTCTTTTCTAATCCATGATCAAATGAAAACTAAATGTCTTAATAAGACTTCATCAGGGTCCAGTTGAAGAATTGAGACATCCAAATCACGCCAAAAATAAAACAAAACTAGCAACAAACAATCCAAAATTGCAATAGGAAAGACAAATCAAATCTGAAAATAACCAATACTGTATTTAATTAGATAATTGATAAAGAGAAATGGTTTCAACAGCCCAAAATAACTAAGGACAGATAATTCCCAATAGTTCGAGAAGCTGGGGACCTCCCTTAATTACCTTTGTAAAATTATCCTTAGCCTCTCTCTAAACACACCTCCATTTATATACTAATCCACTCTGCTAAATATTCCTTCTATTAACAACTTGATTCCCTTAACACGTGAATGTTACCCAACCAACTCCCACTAGCACCCATGCACCTTACACACTCATCACCTTATTGCCCTTATCCCCTTTATGCCCTTTATATCGATAAACTTTACTAATGGGAGACCTATCAATA